AAAATCAACAAATGGAAGGGAATGCAGAGTTAATCAGAAACAAAATACAGTTAATTTGTTAATGTGAAGAAGTAGAGGAGTGAAGTAAGATATTAAAGCAGATGCTATGAGGAGAACAGTCACAATTGAACCCAAAAGAAAGCACGGGTAACTTTGCTTACGGCGCACAAAGCAAAATCTGTGGACATCAGTGCTTGCTATGTTGAACACTTCTGTTCTAGGAACCCAAACACCTTTATCAGGATCATCATTCAGCACATACAAGGACAAGATAAGAGGAGAGAGAAAACGTACAATGTGGCTTTCCTTACAATGCTCAGCAGAGGGAACTTTAAATGTCTCCAAGCAGCACTGCTTCACCAGTTCCTGAATATATTTATCATCTAATTTATAAGTTGTTGTTTTCGGCACACAGGAAAACATAAGGCTCCCCTGAGCTGGTCCAGAAAAAAGAAAAACCTTGGTATGAAACTATTTCACCTGACTGTGGCATGTTTATTTAATTTACAGCTTCAGATAATGCCATAATGTCATAAAACGGTGCTGTATAAATGACCTGACAGTTGTATGGACGTCTATGTGATAAACATAAAGAGGAACAGTTAATGTACTTATAGTTATGGCACTAGATCGGCTACTTAAGAGACTGTTCCCAGGAGGAACTCAGAGTTTAGCACGACTGCCTTTTTTATTCCCTTGAACTTCTGTATGTTTGGAGTGAGGTTGAAAAACCATCGTCCTTTAGATGCGCCTACGTATGGACGCTTCTGAGGGTCGTTGAGGAACTGCACTTCACACAAAATGTTTTGGATGCAACTTGCTTAACAACTGAACCTTTTCCTTCTATGATGCAACTTTCAAATGTATCAGATTTTAAGAGAAACAGATGTTATGTCTCAGAGAGACCTTCTCGCTCAAATTAACCTAGGAGGTGAATCAAGCCGTCCATCTTAAAAAGCACCACTGACGTGCAATTCTGAGGAACAGCAGCACAGGAATCAGTCGGTGTTAATAAAAAATGGCAACCTTGAGTGTTTCAGACTTACTAAACCCAGAATATTGATTTCTTTTATTGATGTAATAAATATTGCATCTTTAATCAAAATTCCTTGGATAGAAATTTTGATTATTTTCAGGAGGAATGTTTTCTACAATAGCACAGCGCAATAATATTGATTACAACAGACTGCAGAACATCTGGGAGAAAAGTCCACATTTTTCCGCATTGTGGAAAGGTTGATTCAATACTAAGAAAGAAACAGATCATTTTCTAAAACAATTCATCCATCTACCCATCTGGCTCATCTTTGCCTCAAATTAAGATTGGTTTGATGAGGTAGAAAATGTTAAAACACTAAAGACATGACGTGACACCATGTTGAACTATATCTGAAATTATAGTAATCAAATAACGCCTTCAAATAAACACAATTTTGAAAAAATATTTGTAAAGTTTTACAAACGCAGAGTTGGGAGGTCTTGAACTTTGGCGCCCCTTAGTGTGAGAGTCAAGTAAAGAGCAGGGTGGGTCAAAATCAGATCCTAATTCCAGGAAAATAGATTTTAAAGAAAAGAAACGAAGAGAAAAGGAAAGAAAAACACTTGAAAACTATGTAATTCACAAATAACCAACAAACTTTTTTTTCTTTTTTGTTTTACTTTTTTTCTGTACATTTTTGTAACAATGACATTTTGAACAAACCTATGAAAGCAACGCATTTTAAAACATTATGAAGTTCATAGAGGCAGAAAATGCTGTACAGATTTCTATTAAAACTATACTGGAAGACTCTAATGTTAAAATGTGACACCTGCTTCAGGTGTGAAAGGAGGAGCTGCCAAGAACTTTTTGGACAGCAGAGTAATAGTTTAGTTTACTTATATAAAGTTAAACTATTTTCGTCCTCTGGCTTTTACTCCTTGTTGGAAAAAGTCTATCTGATAGAATAAAAAGGGTTCAGACTCCTGCCACAATGTTTACTAGAGCCAATAAAACTATAAATATAACATGAAACAAGTCCAAATATTTTTGTCATCCACTGTCTGGCCTCTTATATCGGTGATCTGGATGTTCATAATGCAGAAAACATTAGCATTTTTTTCCTTTTTTTATTTTATACTTTTGAAAAAATCTTTCACTAAAATTTAATAGTTTTCAGACTTTGCAGGGTTTTTTTAAGCATACAAAACAAGATATTCAGCATGTTTCCTACAATACAGCTGTAGAAAATATACTTTACAAACTCCTCCTGCTCTGATTAACCTTTTATATGTTTGTCCAAACAAGAGGCGTCACCTGTAGGTAAGATACTGCCTACCGTTAAACACACCAATCCATACTGAAAAAAAGCCATGCTTTGAAATGAGGTCAAAAAAGGGGAGATTAGAACAAAACAAACTGATCATTTTGTCTATTTGAAGGAGCCCAATGAAAAACACATACTGCACCTTAATGAGACCATAAATACATAAATATGTGAGCTCATTGTGTTGTCAGAGACCCATATTTCTTCAAAAAGGTTCAAGTGATTTCTCTCGTTGTGATTTAGTTGGAATTATTTCTGCTTCCTGTTCACAACGCAACACAGAGGCTTCACAAGTTTACTTTAAAAGGTCAGCAGCTGTTTGGTGCCTCAGGAATGTGATTCAAATTCCCCAACCATTGAAAATGACCAGACAGACAATGAGAGAGCATGAGACTTTGGACACAAGCGATGCTTTGAGTGTTGTGCAGATAAAGGATGCCATCAGACGGTCGGCAAAGCAAAAAATGTCCTGCAGAGACCCTGCTGAAGAATGCAGCTGCACAAAGTGCGGCGATAATACCAGATAGCTAAGCACACGTAAGTGACAGAAAGGCAAAGACAGCGGTAAACATGTCATCCCCTCATGAATAATGCAGCCAGCTTCACTGTAAGCAAAGAGACAAAAACGAAAAAAAAAAAAAGAAAAGAGCATGACCTGTCAGCGGATTCATTTATATCCCGCCTGCCAACCCTTTATTTAACATTTATTTAACATTTATATTGTTTGTTTAAGCTGGGGTGTTTTCTGTTTTATAGATGTCGTAAATCACATGAGGCCGGGTATTTTTAGTGGCTTTAAAGCTGCTTGAAAGCTCGGTTTGTTCTAAAACCCTCGCTCTAATAGAGTCATGTGATGTGTTGCTTTAAGCAGCAAAAAAGCCCCATCACTGCTGGAACAAATACTGAATGTTTTCAATAAATTACACTGAAGACTGGGAATACCGGGCACTTCTGCACAGCTCTGGGAGGCATTCAGCCTCCTGAAGCTCATGCAGCTTGACACATAAAGGTCAGTTTACATGTCATGGGGAGGAAACATGTGATGATGGTTAATCCCACTTTGACTTTGAAGGCTATAGGCTACAGAAAGGGGGGGAAAATGCATTATGAAAAGTCAAGGTTTTGAGTTTCAAAGATGGCTATTCAACAGAGTGGAGTAGTGTCTCTCATGAGAAGTTGTTATTGGTTGGTTCAGGTTTAAATGAGTTCTTTACTCAGCCAAATGTTGGCCTTAAAGAAATGCATAAATAAATTCATTTCTTTGATGTTTTTTTTTATCTCCTTTTCTTCTGTTCATATCTTTTTATCAGAATAGTATTTTTAACATCAGCAGCTTTACTCTCTGTAACCAAACCCTACACAGAGATCTGCATGTTCTGTCAAGGTTGAGTTGGATGCTTGTATTGTCTATCGCTTTTGTTTTTTGATCTGGGAATATTAGGTGTATTTTGAACTAAAACAAAATATAGAAGCTGTCCTCATCCTGAAAAGCAGAATGACTGGAGAATCCATCCATCCATTTTCTGTACACCCTTGTCACTAGTGGGGTGTGGAGGGATGCTGGTGCCCATCTCCAGAGCCTTTAGGCAGGGTACGCCCTGGACAGGTCGCCAGTCTGTCGCAGGACAACACAGAGGCAGAAAGGACAAACAACGATGCACCAATTTACCAATTTGTCATGTTTTTGAATTGTGGGAGGAAGTCAGAGTACCCGAAGAGAACCCACGCATGCACAGGGAGAACATGCAAACCCCATGCAGAAAGACCCCGGGCCAGGAACTGAACACAGAACCTTCTTGTTGCAAGGCAATAGTGCTACCAACTGCACCACTCGACTGGAGAATCCCTCACCAGCTACTTTGGCATATTCAGATTTAGATAAAAAACACATTCTCAAGGTCTTGAAAAAGCAGTCAATACCAGTTGCAGATATTTAAGAATATTTATTTCTTGGGATGTTGGGATCCATCAATAAATGTTTCATCATAAAACACAACAATACAAAGGTAATTATTAGAACTGGTGGCAGTGTTATATTAAACACATAAAGACATAGCTACTGCACAAACGATTTTTTTGGTTGTTGTTTTTTTTACCATTTACAGCAAACGCAAAGGGCTCTTATTGTGAAAGTCCGCAGGAAGTTTAGGTTTTTATTCTTGTTGCTAAAATGTATGGCTTCAACAGGGATTTTATTGCTAAAAAGCAACGACGACATAAGGGTGCACCCAATTTGATTAAAATTACAATCCAATTATAATTTTAATCCGTTGAATTCAGCTACAGTGTGGTCTAACATTTTCTACATCGCAATTGAAACAGTAAAAATTAAAACAGTATATAAATATGCTCTTTGTGTTCGTTTCTCTCTCTCTTTTTTTTTCTACTTTTATGAAACAACAATAGGTTCGTAGTACGTTTGCTGACCGTACACCACTCCAAAAATCCCTTTCTACGGCGAACGAGTGGACGTAAAGCTGACCGGAGGAGCACATCCCGGGTTCAGGAAGAAGCGACTCACAGAAACATGTAAACAGCGTACCTGCAGCCAGCCGGGGGACGGCGGGTGAGAGCGCTCTTCCTGCTTTCAAAGTTCCCACGGCGCTCCGGGGACCACCCAGCGGCGCCGAGCGCGCCTCCCATTGGCTGCTCGCTCCTCATTTGCATTAACGTCAGTAAAGGCTGTAGGTCAATCCTTGCGGGTGCTTTTATTGGATGTGCCGCTGTCAAGCAGTGCTGAAGAATTGGAAGGGCAAACGCCAGAAAAGGCAGAGACAAGACAAACATTGAAATCAGCATTATGGAGCCTGAACCCGCCTCATGTCCGCTCGCGTCCAACTGAGATAATCCTGCCGTCACCGATTTTTAACATCTGAAACTTGTGGACACGGAGCGGGGATTTTTTTTTTCCTTTCTTTTTTTTTAAGATTTTTTTTTCTCTCTGAGTCTCTCTCTCTTTTTCTCTCTCTCTCAAGCGACTACATTCTCCAGAGGTGGTACCTCTTCACATTACAATCAAACAGCCTCTACATCTGTTTTTGTCAAGCTCCAGAATGAGAGGGAAAACCGCGGAGCCTGTCGCGAGCTGCAGCCGGGCTTGGAGCTCTTGAATCAGGCGGTGGATCATCCTCCACCGGGGGGGCGGCGGCGGCGGCGAGCGGGAGCGGATGCCTGAATGGAGACTGCGAGCCATCCACCAGGATCTCCCCGCTTCCTAAATTGGTGAATTTTGTGCGCTTGACAAACGGAGCGTTCCGTCGGGCTGCATGGCCTTGTGTTTCACCGACGGCGTGTTTGACATGGGAGCGACTGGCCAGAGAAACGCTCCGCAGTGTGAATATTTCAGCCTGTTGATGATGAGCCGCTCCGGACCGGAGCAAAGTGTCGTGAGAATTGCTTTTCTGCTGAGCTGAAGTGGGCAACCAGACTGTTGAAGAAGACTTAAAAAAAAAGAAAGAAAGAAAGGAAAAAAAGAGAGGGGCAATATTTTTTTTTGATGGCTCCTAGGTGGGGGAGGACGGATACACATGAAACCTTGGACATCAAAAATGGATAAAACTCATGCGTAAAGCTGATGAGGGAGGGGGGGCTCTCAGGCCTACTTGATAGCAGTGGTGAAGTTGATGGGGGGGAGTGGAGGGAGTGAGAAAATGATGATGTGGTACGAATTGAAGGCGAGAAGAAGAGCTGGAGTGAGGGATAAAATCCGTGGGGAGATTGGTAGCTGAAGGAGAACGGAAACCCAAGTTTCTCCAGGACAAGACAGCTGCTTTCATTGAGGCTCTCCAATTAACTTCATGTGAAAAACAGGGAGAGGAAACAGGCTTCCTGGTTGAGGGGTGGGTGGGTGGGTAGGGGGGTCAGATAGATATTTTATTCATGCCTTATGTTGGAGCAACTGGAGAACCGGCTTTCCTGTGGCCTACATGTTATACACGCGCACACGTATGCATTTGTAGAGGAACACGTATTTTTGGAGAATTGTAACCTTTCGGAGGAAGAGTGGACCTTCAGAAACACACAGAGAGGACGAATGACACTCTTGTAGCCTCAAAAAGTAACGCACTTGGAAAGAAGAGAAGAAGAAGAGAGAAAAAAAGAGGCTGAAGTGGGTTTGAAGCATGGGCTGTGCTTCAAGTATTCATATCTCTGATAGGGTGGTCTACCACAGTGGAAAAGAGTCTGAGGATTCTCACTCACCCCAGCAGACTAATACAACTCAGCATCAAGGAAATCCTGCCTCCGGACTACCCCTAAAACCCCCTAGCTGCAAGGTGAGAGAACCTACATTCATTACGTTCACAGAGACAGGAGAGCGAGTGTGAGAGGGATCGAGTCAGAAGAAGTTTGCTTTTGTGCGTGTGTGTGTGTGTGTGTGTGTGTGTGTGTGTGTGTGTGTGTGTGTGTGTGTGTGTGTGTGTGTGTATTATAGACAGTTGAGTTCAGTCTTTATTCTGGAAAGGCAAAAAAGAGTTTCTGTGCTGAAGGGACAAAAACAACCATGTCTGCAAACCACAGGAAGGACATTCTTGAAAAAAAAAAAAAAAAGGATCCAGGTGGTTACTCAGCTTGCACATGACTGAATCAACTTTACTTCACTTTATTTTGACTCTTTTCAAACTTGAAAACACAGTTTGGGATCTCAGAGGAAACAGGCCTTCATGCAATCTCTATTGACGTTGTAGGCTCGTTTTTCTCTGACCCAACTATTGTTTTCTTTGTAGTTTCGGGAGGATGCAAACCATTGTTGCTGGGGGGGGGGGGGTTTCTGTTTTTTTTTTTTTTTTTTTGTAGATGATCTAAGCATACCTGACATGTGTGATCCCAACATGGGAGTAGAGCAGGGGTATCAAACTCCAGTCCTCTATGGCCACTATCCTGCAGCTTTTAGTTGTGCCACAGGTACAAAACACTGGAATGAAATGACTTAATTGCCTTCTTCTTGTGTAGATAAGTTCTCCAGAGCTTTGCTAATGACCTAATTATTTTATTCAGGTGTGGTGCAGCAGAGGCACATCTAAAAGTTGCAGGGCAGTGGCCCTCCAGGACTAGAGGTTGACACCTGTGGAGCAGAGCATGGCCTGTTCCGGGCAGAAAGCATCAACATCTGTCCTCAAAACGTGGTTCTCTTTCTACTGGTACACCTTTAGCCTCTGATTCACCTCTCTGCCAGTTGTACTCTGTTTTAATAGGCCTTTCTCCACCGCTCTGAAAAAGAATGGATTCAAAAAGTTTCAAGACTTAATAGCAAAATGTGTGTGCCTGCTTGTGTACGTTGACAAAATACTTTGTGTAGAGAAGATTTGAACGTTCCTAGACATTTTCTTGTTGCCGTTTTCATATTGAACACGTCCGTCAAAATAGTGGAATATTCATTTTGGATAATGAGAAACGAGTTTAATTCTTCTGGGAACTACAAGTACAAATAAACTGCCTGCAATGCGATGAAGGAAAGCATCATCCCGCCAAATAGAAACTGGGTAATAAGCCGTTGTAGGACTGAGAGCCGTCATTGTGTCTGTGGAAGAAAATCAGTGATGTTTCCTGGACAAAGTCAAATCTAGCTTTTAATAATTACACTTTTGCAACCACAGGGATCTCTCTACCACAAAACGCCTGTTTTGGGGCCAACTCCAGAAAAGTGTGACTTTGTGAAATTAGTTGCGCGTTAAGGGGTCCGCTGACGAACTTCAGACTTCTCAAAAGGCCACATTTTGTGGCCGAGTGTCACCGTAGGATACAGCGAGAAAGAAGTCTGTGTAACAGATGCCCCTACGTCAGGACAGCCCACTGTGTGCCTTTGATTGAATTAGTTCCCTGATTGAGTTAGACTAATGGTATACACATCTCCACCAGCTGGAAATGGTTAATCCCTGTGCTGTAAGGTGTCGTTTTTAACATCCTCTGAGCTTTTTAGCTGACCCTAAAAACCCCCACACTGACCCTTTACGAAGAGAGATTCATATGCACTATAATACATGCAGAAAATCACATTACCATTGCTCTCATTACGAAAACCATGCGTTCATTGGCACTTCGTGGCGTCCAGGGTTTCGTGCCGTCTGCTTTAGTTCGTTTGATTCCCTCTCTTAAATGTGATCAATAGCAGCCATTGATTGTTGTGGAATTGTTTGGCTGTGCCACATTTCCACATACATTTAATAAGGCCTTTTGCAACACAATGTTACTGGAAAAGAACTTGGTGATGCTATTGGACAGCTCAACAGATGGCGCAGCTTTTATATGGAGATTCTACGAGGTGACGGCAGAGAACACGTCTGAACTCGAGGCCAGGTTAGCGGAATCGTTGAAAGGTACATTCAATCATTTCTGTTTTTGATTTTAAACATTTTCATCAAACTGCTCGAATGGCTAGTCAGCAGATTTGTCAGTAATGAGGACAATTAGTGCCTCAACTGGGGGGTATCTCACGCTCATGTGTTAATTTCTATCGGTGGTGTTTTTAGCACCCATGTGCATCTCTGGGGGTGTAATAATAATTCACATTCACACAGCTGGCAGGATCAGCAATAAGGTGCATACATTTAGCGTGCCGTAAACATGAATTCACCAGAGTTGTGCTGATTCTTGACGCACACGTTTTTATTTATTTTATTCTGGGAGAGAAGGCAACAAGGAGATGACATGTGCAGGTGCCGACGGTGTGAGAAGGATTCAATAGAAGTTTGGGAGTGTGATGTGAGTCTTTGTCAAGGGTACGTTACCATCTGTGCTGCTCTGGTGATGATAAGGCTCAAGTACAAGGTCCTGTGATAGTGGGCTTCTTTTTCCCCTTCATGTGTGCGTGCGTGCATGCGCGTGTGTGCGTGTGCGTTGGGCTGAACAGTCAGACAGAGGAAGACCTCAGCCAAACACAACACCATTTATCTGGCCTTGACTTTTCCAGTCGGATTGCCCCCACTCAAGGAAAGTTGGTCTCCTGCCTGAACAACAAATGTAGAATCAGCTTTACCGCTACCCCTAGTGTAAATGAGAGGGGTCAATGAAAGGTGTAGAGTTTACAAGTATCTAAGCTGTAGGGCCTTCCCGCTTGATGCTTAATGTCTGATTTAGTCTTGCCAATTAAATAAAATAGTTTTGGTTAAAGTGACACAAGTTCTCTCAGAGTGACAGTATATTTGTTACACACTTCATCGTGAGACATGTCGTGCATTATATCTTTTTATTCTTATTTTTGGCAATGTAAACCAAATTTCTATTCAGCATGATACTTGACCTTAACTTTAACCTGAAAGCACACCTGCACCGACATGGTACGCAGTGTCCCACACTGGTTTTCAGCATGAACACAAAAAAGAATGGGTCACATTGAAGTTTGTTGAGGCAACACAGATCACTGGACTCAAACAAAGGGTGTGATTTTTTTTTTTGTTGTTGCCTTCTTTCAGAAGTAGAAATGGAAAGAGAACAAAAGTGAGAAAGATTGCAGGGCAATGTGCCGTCAAGTGTTAAACTGAGTCCAGATGGCTGAGGCGTGGGTTGATATTACTGAAAATGTCAAATTATTATTATTATTATTTTGACACGTTCCATTCACTACCAAATGCTCTTCCTAAATCTTCCTTTTATCCTGACTACAATCTTTAGCACCTGTTGCAAAAAAAACAAAAAAAGAGAAAAGAAGGTTGAAATTACCGTATTTAACTGTAGGAAAGGTATTTATGAGGGTGACCATTGTCTTCTCAACCAGCATGATCTTGAAACACCGTCATAAAATAGAAATAGATGAAGTTGTTAAAAAAAAAAAGTCACGGTTTGGTACATGAATCAGATACGGGTTTTTTGTTTTGGTCTGTACAGATACAGACCAATAGAAAAGTGGTGGTCAGAGGGGTACGGTGGTGCCGGTTCATGGCTACCTCACCTTTTGACAGACTGCCCCGGGTTTAGGCGCCTGTGGCTATGTTGTAGTAGCTTCCCATAATCGGTGAACGCGTGTCTAATAGGGTTAGGGTGAATGAATGAATGTAGTATGGAATGCAAATATTAGATTTTACTTAACTTGTTTTGGCCAGGAAATAATTCACAAAGAAACTGTATGTATGACATAATAGTAGCATGATATGACCAATTGACATTTTCCACTTTAAGCATTAACGAAAACTTGTCTTCTGTGAACTGCTGGTTATAGACGAGCAACTTGGTCTTTACTTGCCCTGGTGCCATTATTCCCAATCATTCTTGCATTAGTTTGGTGTAGTGTTTGAAATAGTGTTTTAATAATTAAACAGTGATATATATGACTTGGCTGAAAGCATTAGATATTTGTACAAGCCTTTCTGGATGAGAGTGACGTATTCTTTGAAAATGACCTCTACCTGTAACGGTTCTGTAAGGATGCATTTGCCGCTACGCACCAATTAATCCAGATCAAACATTTAAGGTAACACATTATCCGTTTCAGCCATTGTTCAACGAAGCTAAAACCTTGACTAATGTTTAAGTTTAGCTATATATGAGCCATAATTCTGAGTTGAACCCCATAAATGCCAAGGAACTCAAAGTTTTGAGTTATTCTTTATTAGTGGGAAATCCTAAAATACTCCTTACTCAACATCCCAAAACAGAGTAATTTGATCCATCTCACTTTTTAAAAGAGCATGTAGCAGGTTATGATAATCCTTTGACCTGGGCAGCCTGACTGCATTTGTCAGGCTTTCTCTCCCACTGTGTCTGCATGCTTTCTCTGGCCAGTTGTGTGTGTGTGTGTGTGTGTGTGTGTGTGTGTGTGTGTGTGTGCGCGCGTGTGTGTGTGTGTGCATGGGTGGGTGTGTGCGTGTGCGCGCGCGTGTGTGTGTTTAGTCTAATTTGAGAGTCGTTGGGTAATTTATTCCAGACGAGGCCAAAGGCTTTGCATGGTGATGAATTAATCCACTGTGCTTTTTCTCCTGCCCGAGAAGACACAGACTGATATTGGTTCTTTTCTTTCCCGCCTTATACAACTTTTTAAAGATCCGCCTTGATTTCATACTTGCATTGTATTCATTCTGCTTTTTGGATTTACTTTTTTAAGGTTAACTCATAAATGTACACTTAAGCTACAGCTGTTCTTAAAGTCCGACTTTTGTAAGTGGGTAGTTTTTTTTTTTGTCACTACCGGAACAGCTTCTCTTCGTGCACACATGCATGTTCAACTTTCTTCGCAGATCTTGTTTTTGCAGTTGCTGAATGGGTCAAATGATGAGCTGTGCTCCTCTGTTTATTGAAGATCTCACCAGTATGAAGTATGCATCAAGTTTTTTTTATGGCACTA